ATATATATATATATATATATATATATATATATATATATATACACGCATAATATCACATATATTTAAATTCTTTTTCTGTATAAAAATTCAAATACTTAATACAATAAAGATAAGGTAGATACTATTATTTAAAGATAGTGTAAAACTACAAAGAATATCAGTTTATAAAATTGTTTAAATTGCAAGTTAAAAATTTTTAATTTTCAAATGTAATATAATCATACATAAATGAAAAAAGCATATAGATTTGGTAGAATAATTGGACATTTTAAATAAATCATTGAGTTATTAATACTACAAATATATAAAATGTGATGATAATATAAGAAGCCATTAGATGCATCTCCTTGTTGTTAAATATGATAGTCCATTTGTATTAACGGTTCTATAAAAAAGGAGAATTAATAAGATAATCTTATTAATATACATATATAAGTTTCAAGAATGTTTATAAAATGTGATGCTTATTTTTATACATAATCTTTAAATAATTTATAATGAAAGCACTAATCATAAAATACAGAAATAACAGATAAGTTATATAAATTTATTACAGAAATAAAACACAATGTTACAAATTATAGAAAATATAATAAAAATGAAATAAACATTATCTAAAGTGAGATGAACATACATCACTGGAAGTTATATATAATATATAAAAGTAAAAATGCAAGCTACCAGTAACTCTGGCATATAATGCAAACAATAATTATTTGTACATAAGACTTAAAACACAATATATTGTTATCAGAAGTGCGCTTATTCCAATAAATACATATTCTCTTACCATCTGCCAATTCTTATTATTAATTTTTTTCAGTACCAATAAAAATCTTTTCCATACAGAGGCAAAATATTTATATACCCATGTATATGTACGTATTTGTACTGATTTACTGTTGTTTGTCACCACATTTTCCATCCTATTTCTTGAATATTTTATTAAGGTTTGTAAATCGTTTTTATCACTGTAAAGTGTAAAACTTCTTGTAGATTCATGCTTTTGCTCTAAAACTGTAAATAATATGTTTAACTATTTTTAAAACCAAACATAATATCATTTTTAACTTATTAAAATCAGTCTATCAAAAGACGTGATAGCGTCTCGCGCCAAGTATATATAATAATACATTACTATTATTATTATGAGGAATATCTGCTGTAGAATTAGTGGTATCAGTGCCCCAACCAGCTTTAATATTGTCTTTGTTTTGGACTTTGATATCTGAAATATCAGTAATGGATTCAGTGGTTTTTGCATTAGATTGATTGGGGCACTCTGAATCCTATTTTTCATATTTACTAATACTGCTATCGCGTTTAGATTCAATGTTGGATTTTATCAGATCAACATGACCTGTTTTAATCATATTTTCTTTCCATTTTGTCAATTCAATATTGTATTTATCTTTTAACTGCTTTGACATTGTGTGATATTTATCTTTATCTTGTATTGTCATATTATTCCATTCATTAGAAATATTTTTCATCCATTCCTAGAAATGTACATAAAATATATTTGATGTTATCTACTCGTGATAGTTTTCAAAAATAAATATACATCTGTTTTTTAAATACCCTTAATTTAGTCCCTGTACTCTTTTCTAAATACCTTATTAGTTATATGTTATTGTATGTAAAAAATTGAGGTAAATATTAACCAATTAATAATCATGAAAATTAAGAGAAAATATTAAAACACAAAATATTAAAACACATAATTTATAACTTTTACTATTATTAATTTTATATCAAGATATTGTATAAAGAAAATTACCTTATGTGGTATCTTTGAATCTTTGTTATATTTCTTGCTTTGTAAAAATATGTTGTAAGAGGTTAATGGTCGCTTTGGTTTTCCAAATTTCTTAAGTATCTCTTCTCTAAATTCCTGTTATAGAAATAAATCAATATTAAATTGTATATAACCTGATTTGTATGTGTATACGTAGATAACTTTATCATAGAAATATTGTATGTATATGTATACATATACTTGCTTACATGGTTTTTTTTAAAGGTTGAATCCTTCATTAATTGTTTTGCTAGTAGCATTTTTTGTTCTTCACTTAGAACTAAATTATTGTAATCGTCTAACTTTTGTTTGTATAAAACATATTCATCATCATGTTGCTTTTGAAATTCTTGCTTTATTGTTGAATCAACTTTTGCCCATTCTTCAGATATTTTTTTAATAAGTTCTTTGTATTTAATATCTGGGTGTTCTTGTTGCAACTTATTTCTTACAGAATGGAGATATAGCAAATATGGATTAGGTGGTTTTTTTGGTTTTGGTGGTAAAATATCTTTTCCTATGTTATTCATCATTTTCATTGTAGTACTTTTCATACTAGCTAATTTCCTATGGATAGAAAAATCCAGTTTCCATCATTTGCAGTATTGATACTAACCTATCTTTGTATAAATTGTGGAAACTAATTATACAATAATTTTAATAAAAAATTTGGTAAAACAATTTTTGAATAATCGCATCGTGCGCGTAAAAACATTTCGATGTACTTATTCTGAATAGATATATTGTTCCATGATATTGAAAAACTATTCAATATTTACCTTAAATTTAAATAATTACGAAAAGCTAATAACATTACCTCGTACACAACAAATTAACCGGACTATTAGGAAACAATAACCTCCAGGTCGCCATGTTTCCAGAATAAGTACTACGCCAAGATCTCTCTCTCTATATTTCTCAGGCCTGGCTCTTTCACTACAATTGCTTCGTAGATTTAGATTACGCTAAGATAATGTAAAATACACGTCACACCATATAAATTACTTAAGCAATTCGAGATTCGCCGATTCTCTATATTTAACATATCATTAATAACGCGTTATTAAAGATCTCCAACTCTAGATAAAGGTTGCGTTCCGTTTCACGCATTATGCGCGCATTGCCTACAATATACGTAACATAAACTATAGATAAATGCGCGCATATGCGTGAAACGGAACGCAGCCAAAGTTTCACGCTTTATGCACAATGGCTTAGTTTACATCGTACACTTGATACGCGTACTAAATAGTAACTTTCTATTAGATAATCTTAATATCGACGATATATATAAACAACGGTATATTAAGCTGGTATAATACTCATCAACAAAACATATTGTAATGATTGAATGCGTCGCCGTCGATATTAAGATTATCTAATAGAAAGTTACTATTTAGTACGCATATCAAGTGCACGATGTAAACCAGGCCAATAATAGAGACTCTAGATATAACAGATTGGCCAAAGCTGGTCCAAGTTTTGATTGGTTGGATACAAAATGGCATAGCCAATGAGCCGTGACTATGCGAAAAAAAGCGCGAACAGAAATAAGGAAAACACAAGCAAATAAATATTTTAACAGTATTTTTATTCAATAAATGTTAATTTCTAAGAACTATTGGCATAAACACAAAGGGTGCTTCCCAGTTGCGTACATTGTGTTACACAAAACTAGTTTATTGGTTGCATATTATCTTACAAGATATTTTAGATAATATATGACCAATAAACTGGTTTTGTGTACGTGTATGTCAAGATGTGTTAAGCAATTGGAAAGCACCCACATCTATATGCGAATTAACACATTCGCACAAAATATAGAAATATAACAATATATATTTTCCATTTTATTTCGTAACTTTACGCCGAATAAAATGGAACGATTTAATTGGCTTAACTGGGACGACGCGACGCGTGACGCGCTAAGTGAAAACGCACCCTATGAGTGTACATTATGGCTCCTGCACACAGGACGCAATAATTTTTGTCGCGCGGCGAAAGTTCGCGCGACAGCCAATCAATATGCTGCTTTCCGTAATAACTTTCTAGCTCTTACGGAAGAATAACATATTGATTGGCTGTCGCGTGGACTTCCGCTGCGCGGCAAGCATTACCGCGTCCTGTGTGCAGGAACCATTAGAGATGAATCGATTCTGAATCGATTCGATTCTTTTCCCAAAAATAGGCTTATTCGTGTTGTTTGCATTTTCGCACTTTTCGTATTTAAAACCAGACAAAAGTATATCGGAATGTTTGGAAGAAGCAAAAGCGAGACAACCAACTCGATTGTTTTTTTCAAGCGTCTGATTAGGCGTCCATCTCTTTTTAAAAGCGAAAAGCATGAAACATGCAAGCAGCACGAACAACCCTTTTTCCCTAAATTAATAAGGGAAAGAATCGAATCGATTAAAAATCAGGCATCTCTAGTGTACATTATAGCGAATTCGGTAGCTTGCACTAGTGCGCACTGAGTGCGCATTAAGGCTTGTTTACAGTACATTCTTATATTTAAGATCGTATCTTAAATACATATTTAAAAACATTTTAACTAATAAAATGATTCGTACGGATGTTATACATATCATATTATGGTTAAAAATATTTGAGAATTTATTTGAGAATTATTTAAGACAATCTTTAAATATAATAACATACTATGAACAAACCTTAGTGAGCACTCAGTGCACACTAGTGCAAGCAACCGAATTCGCTATTAGAGAGGGAGCGGTGCACTTGGACACGGTGCATTTGGACACAGCCAATCACAGCACCGTGTGATTAGAGACATTTGTAGGGTCCCTTGGAACAGCGACTTGTGATTGAACTGTGTCCAATTGCCCCGTGTCCAACTGATATACACCCGATTAGAGATGCCCGATTCTGGTTAGACGACAGTTTACCAAAAAGTGGAGGGGATAATGTTAGTACCAAAGAAAATCTCTACACGATATAATTTAAAGATTCTGTTCTTTGTAACTGCACTGCTAAATTGGTGCAATACATTGAAATGAAGCAAGTATACGTTTTCTCACTCTAACTTTTTGCATTAGTTCAGCAGTGCAGTTACAAAAAACAGAATCTTTAAATTATATCGTGTAGAAATTTCTCTTGGTACCAACATTATCCCTTCCACTTTTCGGGAAACTGTCGCCTAACCCTGATTCTTAATCGATTCGATTCTTTCCCTAACAAATTTAGGGAAAAAGGGTTGTTTGTGCTGCTTGCATGTTTCACTTTTCGCTTTTAAAAAGAGATGGACGCCTAATTAGACGCTTGGGAGAAACAATCGAGTTAGTTATTTTGCTTTTGCTTCTTCCAAACATTTCAATACACTTTTGTCTGGTTTTAAATACAAAAAGTGCGAAGAATGCAAACAACACGAATAAGCTTATTTTTGGGGAAAGAATCGAATCGATTTAGAATCGGGCATCTCTAGCACTGCTGAACTGGTGCAATAAATTGAAGAGAAACAAGTTTCTTCTCACTCTAACCTTTTGAATTAGTTCAGCAGTGCAGCAAGAACAGATCATTAAATTATATCGCGTAGAGATTTTCTTTAGTACCAACATTATCCCCTCCACTTTTCGGGAAATTGTCTCCTAACCATCTCTAAGGTGTTTACGTTAAATCGAGTACGAGTTAGTTCCACTAGGGTCGGAAAATGTAATAGGCACAACCATCTAGTATCTTCATGGTTCAAGACAACTCAGTACTGCTTTCCGATGCTCGAGTAGAGTTAGTTAAACCCGTATCAGACTATAGATTAGGATTGAATTGAATTGAAATTTAGTCAATCAGAGTAAAATTCACTAAACTTAAGTTTGGTGAACTTTACTCTGATTGGCCAATTTTCAATTCAATCTCAATCTTAATCCGTAGTCTGATACGGGCTTTAGAGTTAGCTAGAGTAGTGTAGCGGATAACGTGAGCATTAGATAGTTGATTTTTAAAAAATGTTAGTTATTAATAAGTTTAATCTCATATAGTATGTTTATACCGAACGTTTAATACGCATACCCGCACGGAACAAAACTTCCATCGGGTGTCCATTAGATTTCCATCATGGAGATTCAGAACCTCTAATAGACGTCCATAGAAAATCCATAAAGCTTTCACTCAACTTCTAAATGTCCGCATCTTAAATTTCCATTGAACTTCCAGTGGACGTTCTAATAATATTACACAATCACATAATAATATCACAGTAATATTGCAATATCTCAGTAATATTACAAAATTTCACTCAGTGAAAAATGAAGTATTATTTTGTCTAAATAACAAAAAAAACTGGCATTTCATATTTTGTGTCGTTTCATTTATTCGTGAAATTCACGTGGATTCGGTCTCGTGTCAGACAGTCACGTAAACACCCCTAGTGTACATCCAACTAGTAAACTTCTAGTGATCCCACTCTAGGGAATTGATCTCCCCTAATGTTGGTAATTCTGAGTAAATTGCGTTTTCGCCGCAGGAAACCTTAAGATAATCAATTCAGGGTTTCCATCATGAGACTGCCATCACTATTTTCGACCGTCGATGACTTCAACGCAGTGGTCATACCAATTAGAATTGTTGTCACGGGTTACTTTCAACCACTGCTCTCAAACGATTTTCGTATGCGATTCTTTAAATCCGAATGACGCGTATCACGTCTTTGCATATGAAATCGTTGATCATAAAAACAGGGTGGTCGTGAGTTGTTAAAGCACCGTCGACGGCTCAAGCCAGACGGTTCGCTAATGTCGATTTTCTGTTAAATATTTTTCGAAAGGTTCCCACACACACTAACAGTGCCGGCCGATTAATCGCGTTTCCGCAGAGATTTGGGAGAAAATTATGTAGCTACAATGGTTGCGACCACAACGACTGATATGACTGGTTCTATATATCATGAACGACAAGTATTTCGACAATATTATTATATTCAGTATAAATTGTCGCTATGCACACTTGTTATGTAGAAAGTAAACTCAACACAAGATATAGCACGACACAGAATACTGTAGTACATCGATGTTTAAAAACTCGTGTTATATTTGCATAGTCTTGTGTAATAAATGTTTTCTTTTTCTAAGTTAATCTGACAGTCTGATGGAAATTGTAAATTTGATTTGTAGGTGAAGGAGCTTTGTGCTTTACACGCATTAAACAACTTGTTTCAAGAACGTGGATTTAGCAAGCAAGAATTAGACCAAATTTGTTATAGCTTAAGTCCTGATGTTTGGATTAATCCTCATAAATCATTACTAGGAATTGGAAATTATGATATTAATGTTATTATGGCAGCTCTTCAAAAGAGAGGGCGTGAAGCTGTATGGTTCGACAAACGTAGGTCTGTACATTTGAACATATGAGCAAAACTATAATTATGTAATTACAGTTGCAAACTGTTATTGTTAGTAATTCCTGCTTCAATTGTTATTAGTGTAATTCCTGCTTTAATTATTATTAATATAATTCCTACTTCTATTTTAGAGACCCCAAGTGTCTTTGCTTAGACAACATTGAGGGATTTATACTTAATGTCCCAACTGAATATAAATTAGGTTTTGTGCTACTCCCACTAAAACGACGTCACTGGATTGCTCTGAAAAAGATTCACGGTGCCTTTTATAATCTTGATTCAAAACTGGACTCACCACAATTAATAGGAAAGGTTAAAATCACAAATATAATAATATTAAAAAAATATTTTTATACATTAAATTTATGTGGTGCTAACTGTCTTTTATCTTTTTTTGTCAGGACAACGATTTACTTATATATCTAAAGGACCAGATAGATAGCAAGGAAAAGGAGCTATTCCTTGTTGTCTCTAGAGAGATTGACAACAACCAAGGATGGTTAATAGATACAAGTGAAAATAAAGATGACAATAACACAGATCATGATTCAATTAGATATATTGAGGATGGATATCCTGATATAGATTTGAAAAAGTCAGAATCCAAAGAAATGAATGAGAATGAGGAATTTCTAGATAATAAAAATTCTAGATAATTGGGGCCATCTCATATATGCATGCTCCACTTAATTGTTTATTTATTTATTGCCTTGTTGCAAATTTGAAAGAAGGCAATCATGCTTAACATAGGAGAAGACCCAGAGTCATAAAAATAAAAAAAATGAAAGAGATAATGGAAATTGCACACAATAAGTGTTTAACCGAGTATTTCACTACAAGAAAGAATATTCTACAAGAGTATTTCCTCTCATATCTACGTGTTGACACAAACAAGACATTTTTTTCATTATAATATGTATCTTCTCTTTTGCAAGAGAAGGAAGCCACTCGTAACATGGCACATACCACACTGTATACATTACATATAGTGTACAACACATTGTGGATTACAATGCAATTTAAGAAGTAGCATATATAAAAGAATGTAACGTTGTATTTATTCAAAATGATCGCTTTATTAAAATCAACGTATATAAGAGAATAATTTGTATTTAAGAAACGGCAGCTACTCACGTGAGAGTATTTACGTCGCGAGAAAAATGTACATGTACGTGATATTATTTATTGTGATAATCATATTTGTCATTTTAAACGGCTTGTGTAAATAAACAAACACTTGTAAAACACAAAATTATTATGATACACCTTAGGTGCTATTAATTCGCTCACGCAATGAAAACGCTTGTAATTTATTTCATATATGTAATTTATCTTGTATATGTATAAAATTATATTTATATAAGTATTATTGTGTGTTTATATTCTAAGAGCATAAAGTTTATTTTTATCATCATATGATTATTATCATCAAATGGTCTATAGTATGAACATATATTTAAGTCATATGAATTTAAGTAAGCAACAAGTAAGTATAATTAGCGATAATTTATTTATTTTTGTTATATTGTACAGTTATAAGAATAAAAAGAACAATTCACTATCTAATCTGATCTAATTTAATCTAATCTAATCTAATCTATGTACATGTCACGACATATAATGTCATTATCGCTATTTTACCACTTTATTGCAGAAGCTATATTCTCTTTTTGTATTTCATGATATTGTGTACTGAAATATGCATCAACTTTGTCTGTATGTTCTCCTCCTAACCAAGTTTTGTACAAATTCTGTACCACTTTATTTTCCTCAGGATTACTTAATGGAAGTTTATGATATATATTTTCTAACATTGATGCCAGTTCTCTAGGTTGAACATTTCCTTCGGGTCTTATTTGTGCTCCACCGTTTAAGCAACCTAATAATAATGATTACAATAAGACGCTGTCATTATTTTAGATAGCTAATTATAATATATTATTTCAAATAAAACAATATTTACCACATGGGCATGCCATAATTTCTACATAATCGTAAACGCATTTGCCACTTTTCATGTTTTTAACTATATTCTGTATATTCCTGAATCCATTGACAATGGCGAATTTCAATAGTACTTGGTCGTTTTTTTTCAACTCTGCCTCTTGGAAGTCGGGATTTCTAAGATTTTTGAAATCCACTGTGATATTTTCCTCGTCGAAAAGATTCTTCGCTGCGTACCGGAAAATAAAATCCGCATATCCACCTGATCCCGACCCAGTATGACCCCACAACCTATTCTCGATTTCTTCGCTATAAGAACCGAATGATTGTTTGATTTCACCATCATTTATCTCATTTAATATTAAACCGTCTTCATTGAGCATCTGTTCCAATTCGACTGAAAAATATACAGTGTATATCGTAAATTGTATTTCAATCTAATTAATTTCCAAATATTATTTGGTGAAAAAATATTTACACACTTGATGTTATGACGCAATCCACATCCCTCGTTTCTTTTTGCCGATTATAAAAGTCTTCTCTAGAAGCTTCCAACTTTTTATCATAGCAAGGCATTACAGTTACATGATACACTTGCTCTGGTGAAAAACCCATTATCTCAGCTAAATGGTATTTTACTAATGAACCCATAATTTGTTGAGGTGATTTTGTAATACTTATATATGGCAATATGAAGTGTCCTTGAGATTTTTCAGCATAACATACCCAACCTATAGTTAAAAATTGAAAATTTGTAGATTTTAGGAATAATCAATGCAATGTCTCCTACAAATTATTTATTTTACCTGGACAGGAAGAGGATAACATTGGTAATTGATTTTTTGCTCCTTCCTTACTGGCTTTATAACGTTCAACAAATTCTTTGGCTGTTTCTAACAGAGCAAAATCATCGGCCATAGTCATATCTAATACTGTATCAGCTCCCAATTGATAAAAGAAGCCAGCTAGTTTACGAAGAGCTTGTTCTGGTGTGAGTTCATAATGCTGTGCCAATGATAATACAGGTTGCACTGATAAACTTATCACTATATATTTTGAATCTGTGTTTCCAATATTCTAAAAATAAAAAGATACAATATAATTGTACATATAAATATATCTATTACATATTCTTATATATATATATATATATATATATATATATATATATATATATATATATATATATATATATA